CTTAGCTGCTGGTCAAGTTTAATCAACTGGATTTTGGTTGCCATATTTCACAGTGCCCACTGTGCCCAACGCATAAACTCAACTTTTAAATGTGTTTTTAATTAAATTTCCATTGCTTTGCTATACAAACAACAAACAACAACAGCAATTGCATTAGGCCGTGGCTTTTACCATTAACACAATGTTGCTGGCAATTTTCAATTACCACCCACTGTAACAGGCATTCCCCTGTCTGTGGCCAAAAAAATATCAAAACATTAAAATTCAATAAAACCCATTAAAAGCGCAGAAAATACAAAAAAAAAGAAGAAACAAACACATACACGAGCAAAACAAAAACAAAATGCAAAAACAAAAACAAAACACAGGCAGCAAACTCAAAGCGAAAGCACTTAAAGGCAATTAAAAATCTTCAAGCCAAGTAGCTAGAAATTATATTTATTTCTCGCTCTCGCCGCCGTCGCCGTCGCCGTCGCCGCACCGCTCTCAATTTCAAGTGGAAGTTGTTGGGTGGAGGGTGGAGGGAGAACGAGTAAAAGAGAGTGAGAGAGCAGAGCGGGGAGCCTGGTGGTTGTCTTTGCCCAGCACTTTATCAATGGCAATGGCAAATGCGGAACGATGGAAGAGTGGGAGAGGGAGAGGCTGGCCGGCGGCACGTAGTCACAGTCGCTGTTGGTTCTGTTTCGGTTACATTTTGTTTCATTTCGTTTCGTTTTTTTATGTTTTTGTTTTTGTTTTGATTCCCGCTGCAGTTGGTGGCGCAGCGTGCGAGAAATTAAATATTTAGTGAAATTATGGCCACAATTTTCAAGTCTATTTGCAGACATTTTATGCCTTTTTGCTGTTGTTGCTGTGGTAATTGTTCTGCGTGTTTTTGCGGCACACACACACACACAAGCACACATACATCGATGTATGCTCCAGCTGTGGCAGCAAAAAGTGCTGCATACTTTTTGGCTGGCGCTTTAAATTGCATTTTACTCGTGTCGTGCGCTGGGGCAACTGCTGCAGCGAGAAAGAGAGAGAGAGAGAGAGATTTTAGTTTGCTTTTCTTATTTCACTTGATTATATATGTATGTTGACTCTTTAAACAAGTTAAGTATTGCACTCTATTAGCATTTTTAGCACTCGCTCAGCTGGCAATATTTGCGCATAGCTTCAAAGTTATGGCGCTTGGAAAAGTTTTGGGAAAGTGCAGAGCTAAAGCAGCTCTTATAAATCGAGAAAACGCTTTCAACACGAATCTTTTAGGAGAGTTTTATGTTTGGGCAACTAAAAGGATTTGATTTAACTTAAAGCTCAAGCAAATATTCATTAAAAATATCTTTATTCATATCAATCTTTTGTTCTCTTTCCCGTTCTATTTTCTTTTTTTGCTGCGTAATAGGAATTCACCTGCGACGTATCCGTGGAGGGTGGTAAATCGTCGCAGCCACTGCAATTTTCATTCACATTCTACGATCTGGATGGGCATCATGGCAAAATAACAAAGGACGACATTGTGGGCATTGTGTATACCATATACGAGTCCATTGGCAAGTCCGTGGTGGTGCCGCACTGTGGCAGCAAGACAATTAACGTGCGCCTCACCGTCAGTCCGGAAGGCAAATCGAAAACGCAGGCAGCTGCCGCAGCCGCCGCCGCCGCCGCTGCTGCGGCCTCCACATGCCACAACAACAACAATAGCAACACGAACAACAACAACAGCAGCAGCAGCAGCAAACTGAAGAAGCTGCCCACGGGTCTGGCGGCCATGTCGAAAACAGCGGCAGGAGTGGCAGGAGCGAATGGCGTGGCACTAACGACATCCGGCGGCGCACGCCGCCAGCATCGTCATCGACCACGCAAACTGATTAAGTCCGATGACGAGGACGATGACAGCAATAGCGACAAGGAGAAGGAGCTGGCGGCAGCTGCGCTCGAGCAGCACCAGCCCAGTGGCAGTGGCAGCGGCAAGCCGTCAAAGTCCAGATACCAGAGGAACAATACTAAATTGGAGCCATGCTGCAGCGGACAGGCACAGTCGCAGTCACAGTCACAGTCGCAGTCGCAGTCCCAGTCTCTGTCGCAGTCGCAGTCGCAGTCGGAGCAGCACACGCCGGACAATGCGCACAGCAATACCTGCGAGAATATGCTGAATCTCAAATGCTGCAGCATTGCCAACAAGGAAGCAGCCGTCGATGTCCTCGACCACTGTCCACAGCGGGCACAGCGACATCAGCACCACAGCAACAGCAACAGCCACCACAGCCATAGCCACAGTCAGGATGTCTACATGAAGCAGGCCACACAGCGCGTCAAAATGTTGCGAAAAGCGCGAAAACAAAAGGTAAGCGATAGTTCGGCAATTGCAAA